GAGTGCACTGTTTCCTCAAAAGAACTTGGTCGTCGTCCATCCCTTAAAGATGCTTCGTTTAATGATGGGCCTTAGAACAAAAAAATAAGAGGAAATAAACAACGTAGTCATACTTCATCACCGCTGGTCATAATCATTCTCTCATACAAGAGCAATTTCCCTACTATGCCTCGTATGCACACACAGAAATCCACATGTATGAAACAACCCGCAATGTTTTTCTACCAGAAACCAAACTACCCCGTTCCCCAAATAATTTCTTCTTCGTTCACTGTTACGATCGCTCGCGTTGGACATTTTCCGCATCCGTGTGTGATGCTGGTGCATCTGCACCGTATGCACACACAGGCATCCAACCATATGAAACAACCCGCAATATTTGTTACCAGAACTCAAACTACCCCCGCAATTCCCTAATTTGTTTTCCCATTTATTCTTTTAATTACTCCTCAATTCTAAGGGCTTCTTGGGGCGTCTTCGGATGGTATTGACACTTGGTACTGGCGCACCTTTTCCTTCCAGAACGCCACAATTTCATTGTTGTCCGCGCCGCTCACATTATTGGAATCGACGACATCACATCCCTGCCAGTCATTCATCGGCGTGCTTTCTGCGTGCTGCACGTAAATCATCTCCCACGACATGTCTCGGGATAACTCCTCCCAACCATTAAAATATTCCGCCAGATACTCAGTGAACTGCCTCACGGTGCTGGCTGTGGTGTGATGCCCACTCGCCGCAGCCATCCGCAGCCCAACCAGCGCCATTGGATTTGACTTCACAAAGAAAAAGGCGTCCAACAGCGGAAAGTTTTCCACCTCCGTTACGTACAGCACCCCGCACTCCACATCAATCCTCTCAGAAAAGTGTTCCAGTGGCGGTAAGACATGGTGCCTGGCGGAGCGCTCCTGTGAGTACACCGCTAGCGCACAGCGGTGGGACTGACGTTGTGGTGATGGCCTCAGCTCCCTCAGTCTGCATTCTATTGCACGCACAAAAGATCCATTCAAAAATGCAAACACGGTGCACCTTCCAAAATTTTCTGATATGAGATAATCCGTCAGCCCCGATATGAGTAAATTAAAATAATGCTGCTGCATTAACTTCGCCGACTTGAATAATGTTTTATTTCCGAGGTGAGCAGACACCGGTAAATTGAAAAAAAATCCATAACCAAACTCTTCACCTCGTACTCGGACAACCCTCGCAAGCCAGTAGAACGCCTTCATACGATCCCGGGATCCAACACATCCCAAACCAGTGTATTGCAAGATTACAGAAGAGGTCGCCTCATCGACGGTCTTGTGACACCGTTGAACCCAATTATAATACTTTCGCTCGTCAAAGACATAAAGTGGAATAGGTCCCACTTCATCCATTTGGCCCTTCACCACATGCCAGTACTCCGCTTGCTCCCGCACGGGCTGATGGCGCCTCATCCAAACACACATCGCCTTCACATCGCTTTCACCAGGGCAATTCATAACTATTTTTGTGGCACCGCTCCGCTTCACCCATTCTTTGTAGTTCCCCTCGAATGGGGGTGACACCAAAACCATGCCCCATCCCCTGGGAGGCAAATCACTAGACGGTTCATCATCCGGCTCTGCCACATCGTAAATAATATACCCCTTCATCCCACGGTCAGACAGACTCCTCACAAAAGACTTATTACTGGAGTCGCCCATGTATGTCGACACCGTCCTGCTGGTCTTGTCAAACAGGAATTTTCGATCCGCAATAAAGTAAACAACCATTTGGAGTTTCCTGACATCATAGTGCAGCAGCTGGTAGAGGAGGTACGAGCCGGCATTCATCGACTTCCCGATACCGGGCGTCCCAATCAACACACGCCGCTCAGGCCTAAAGTCGGCCTCACCGTGACTGCTGGACCACTCGGTGAGATCGCCCTTGACGATCTGCCACGCTCGCTCCACCTCACAGTTCACGTAGCAGTCACGAGTGGATTCCACCCCCTTCCGATTCCACGAGTATGGCCACCCCTTGTCCGAGGTGAGCACCAGCAGTCTGGGACGCGCTGCAGCGGATTGCTCTGCACCGTCATCCTTTTCGAAGGTGTTGCCAACTTTCTTGTACTTCCATGACTGTGGTGGTTTCCCCTCTCTCACTTCCAGTCCGGTCCCTCGCCGCCAGGAACTTCCACAAATGGCTCCACCTCGCATTGTGCACAGACTCGTAGCATCCCTCCAGTTTCATCGCTGCACTCATCCTCATTGAGTTCCTCACCTCCTCAAGGGCTGCATCCAAAAAACTTTCAGTGATGCCATGAACAATTTCTTTTACCTCCGGAGCAGCTACTAGCCAACCCAGCAGAGTACTTACATGATTATATTGAAGCTTGCGTACATCTTCGTCCTTATCCGTTTCCTCCCTTACAGTCTCCTCCATCCTCAAATAACGATATGTTGTCTTTATTTCGTTCAGTACTCCCGGATCGTAGATATACCTCGCCGGTTCCTTACAAAACTCCTTCAGCAAGACATCCCGATTGGTGTCCACAACGCCCCTGCCGTCCAATTCCCTCGTAAGAAATTCATTCAGCTTCATTTCCTTGTAGCGGACTTCTCCTTTAAACAGTACATCTTCGATATTAGTGGAAATGGTAAATTTCATTTCTTGCGCTCGTCTTAGCCTTTCCTCTGCCTTCTGCCTCGCTTCTGTCAGTACCTGCGTGAGAACTGCGTTTAGTTTTTCACATACAAGTGGAGTGATCGTATCCTTTTCTTTCATAGTCCCTACGTTGCCCGAGAGAGAGCACACCTTCGTGAAGAGGTTTAGTAATGGCCTCCAGCGCTTGGTACGCAGTTAAATTAGGAATTTCTTCAAGAAGCTGTTGGTCTTGTACGTAAGCATTGGGTCTCCGAACAAACGCCTCCATCGTAACATTGTGGTCTTCATCAACAGCCGCCGTGCCGCCCAAATAATTCCAAAGGAAATCATTCAGCTTCATGTTGGTCCTGCTAGTGCTTCCCTCCAGCAGGATGTCCTTTACGGTGCTGCTCATGGTCCACTGTGGTTGCCGCGCCTTCTCCACTCTTCTGCGAGTCGCAGCGGGTTGATCTGTGTCACTCTCAAATTCCGGCCTCGCTCTCCTCTGACCTCCCTGCGAGACATTGGACGATTGACTCTCCAAATTGCCGTAAATTCCTTCCTCGGGCCTTCCAGACATCGTTTCTCCTTGTTTTCGTAGTTGGATTGAGTTAGATCTAAACAATAGCCACCAAACAAAAGAGAGGAATGAGTAAAAGAAAGACAATAGGCACAGTCATGAATCGAAGCCACAACAAGAGACTCATCCACACAGTGTGACGGCACAGTATTCGACGCACACCACATGCACGAGGACCACCACAACGACGGCGAGTGGGTGCAAACCACCCAGCACAGTGTTGGAGAGAGCCAACAATAACAACGTAGTGAGCACGGAGGGTTCGTCCACGCATACCGCTCGCCACGGTCCCGCACCCGTGTGGCACCGCCGTCACCGCGCACACTCAGCAGGAGGACGTGGGCACATCGTCACTGACACGCACACAAAATAAAAAGTAAATTCGGTGCAGAAGCGGCCACACGCAGGGAGCACAAATCATACACACCACAACAGCGATGCATCTCGGTAATCCCACACACAACAGAAAAGAGTGCAATTCGCACGCTTTATGAAAAATATTTGTGGTGTGCATGGCAAAAGAGTGCCGTGACGCTGCCTTTCATACTGCACTCGTCATTCACGTATCACTTGGAAGTACGCAGCCACCACTCCTCCGTTCAGCTCCCCGTGCTGCTCGTGCCGCTCCACTGGAGGAAGTTGTCACCGCACATCCCCATCACCGTGCATTGCGGAATACAAATCAACCACACGGCATGGGTGCGGTGCCACCCCGCCAATAAATCCCAGGAAATACCCCACTGCCTCGTGTGGCACGGACGGCAGTCTCATTATGCCTGCGAAAGGCTTTTTTTCCAAACAAGAACGCGACCCCACCACACGCCCGTAAAAACGTTTGGTCCGTTGCAGCTGACACTCCCACCTCCTGGGTGTGTGCAGCCCCTCGCTGCTCGGCACTCTAAGTGAAATTACCAAAAGCACCAATTCGGAAACATTCGACCACCGCCACAGCAGTCACGCTCCCCATTTCTCACAAAGGCAAAGGCTTGCATTGGCGCAGCGGACGGCGGCACGCACAGTCGCAGGGTAATGAACTGCCGCGGGAATCACGCAACGGCGATGCGCCCCTCCATTGGGAAGCCCAACAAAAAACATGTGTCGCGCAGTCCCCGTAAGCAAAACACATTGAACCGTATTCAGCTCCACTACTGTGGCCATCCGCACTCACAGCATGAGTGCGACAACGCAGGCAAGGAAGCACGGAATAACACCACGCATCCCTCCCATAAATGTCAGGCGGCGTCCATGTTGCCTTCAAAAATAATTCCACCCCACCTCACCCCTCTGCATATCCGCAGCAAAAAGGCCCACACGGTGTACACTACATTAGAATTTCCTAAAGCACAAAACCGAATCATCAGAGTGCTGCCCTCTTCTCAATGTTAAGTAGAATCTCTCTGATCCTTGTCGCCGCCAGCCTGCGGTATTATGGAGGGGCATTGCGTTCTCGGCATATCTCTCCATTTACTTCACTTTCCCGACGCCGCAAATGAAGTGACGCCCCACAAGTGATTTCGACCGTTCTGAAGAACGTGACGTATCAGACGCGCTGAAACTGTGTGCGTGTGTGTTATTACGGGCGAGCGACACAATGCTCTCGCACATCCATGTATTCCGATCCTGCGCAACACCCTATTCGGTGGTGCTGAAAACGTTGGACACCGAACACGCACAAATCGCACAATGAATGCCTCTGGAGAACAAACCCCCCATTAACGTCACCGCAGGCACCGTGACAACAAAGTAACAAAAGAAATCCAACCTCTGCGCGTCTTCCCGCAAGAAGGTGAAGACACACACGCTTGTCCCTTTAGTTCCACTCCAACTCCTCGGGTTTGATGGGTTTAGCAAGAGGAATCACGCTACTCCTCCCTCGCTCCCTGTCACGAGGCATGGCCTTGCGCATATCCAGTGCATCTTCATCACCCTTAAACGTCCCTTTGGGGCCATCGCCTCGGTAGTAACCAAGCACGCGCCGGTAGACAATGTATCCCAGTTTATGGTACATTTCTTGAGCGACTTTGTTGCTTTGCCGCACAAACAAATCCACAAAGTACGCATTGTGAACAAGTGACGTTGTGGTCTCGAGCTCCTTCATGAGTGCCTCTCCCAAGCCAAGACGACGAAATATCGGCGCCACTGTGACCGCAGACACATGCCCGTGGAAATCCTCGCCCTTTCCCTCAGCCTTGCCAAGTGCGTACGCCATACAAATGCCGGTCGTCGGGTGGACACATATGCGCTGAAACTCGGGCCAGTGCGTGAGATACTCACCGTAGAACGAGGTGCTGTAGGTCTCCGTCAACTGATCCAGATTTACAAAGTTGAATTCCATGATGTCCGTGAGTTTGAAATCCCGATAGGTCGTCATGGTTCTTTGGCTCCCTTCAATCAATAAAGTACAAAACAATCAACTGTGAAACATGTTTAAATTACACATACAAATAAAATAATAATAATAATAATAATAACAAATAAAGAATAGGAATGACGCAAGCGCAGTTAGCTTCCATGGGAGAAATGACAGCTCATGCCATAAAAAATTAATAACAATGTTAACAATAACAATATATATATATTTGTATATATATTAAATTGGGTGCAATACGGGTCTTCTTTTTCTTGGGTTTGTAATTGCACTATTCATTCCGTGTGAATTTCGTTCCTATTCCCATCTTCAAGCGTATTACGCGTCAAATTCCGTAAATTGAAGAGGTTTATGTTTCGGTACCCCGTCTTTCTTCCCTTGAAACCAGTCACGCGTCACCTTGCGCTGCTTCTGCACAATCATACTTCGGTACCGATCATCATGACGTACTTCCACCTGAAGTCTCCTGCGAACTCGAGAGCCATCACGCCCTCTTACCCTCTCTTGTGTGTTGAGAGAAGACGCCTCTCTCGCGATCTTCCTGTCCTCCATAATAAGATTCTGCAGCTGTGCCCGAACTTCACTGGGTCTCTTGTCAAGACCAAAACTGTGTGCAATGTGGCCAAGGTGAAGCATATCCAAATTAAAAAATCGAGTTTTAAGTTCTCGGGAGTGCCCTGCGTAAGCTCGTATGTAAGACTGGTATGCGAACAGTGCAAGTCGAGTGAGATCATCGTTCCGGCTCGCATCTCCAGCAGGCAACTCATTTACAGGTTCCTCTCGATTCATGACAAGTCGACTGATGGCGCGCTCGAGAGTAGCCGTACTTTGCATCCAAATGTGGTTCGACTTTGGATCCAACTTTGCCAGGTAATAAAGAAACGACTCGTAATTCCTCTTTTCCATTGTTGCCACTGCTGCTGCCGCCTCATTTCCCGCAAAAGAGCTCCCGCTCTCTTTTGCTATAAATTTACTTAAGTATGGGGCGTATCCTGCCTCGTGTGGCATGAGAAACAACAGAGAGTCCCCAGCGTTGCCAATGCGAGCGGTGCGTCCAATACGATGAACGTAACACGCTGGATCCGTCGGAGGATCGTAATGCACAATCCAGTCCACCCGTGGCATATCCAATCCTCGGGCAGCCACATCTGTACAAAACAGGACACCCCTTAGAGAAAGCTGAGCAGCCTCACCGACGTGTTTGAAGGCTTTAAAAACAGAGGCCCGGTCAACCTGCGACATGTTGCCATGCAACTTCAATATGTTGACATCAAGAAGAGCGTTTCTACCTGAGAGCGTCTGCCCCTCATCATTATCATCCTCACTGCCCGAATCATCCTCAAAGGTGACAATGGCCTCGCTCTGGTCTTGTACATGTCTGTTGGCCTCCTCCACCCGCCGCTTCACACCATATTGACGAACATGTTGCTTGGATGCACCTTTAAATAAAACGTCTTTTCTCCTGCCGCAAAAAGGAGATTGTAGGCGTGATAGCAAACGGTAATGAAATTCTGCGCTATCAGCGGTGGAGACAAAAACAATAATTCTTTGAGCACCGGCATCAATTTGGGAGCGAAGAAAACCAATGAGGGTTGAGAGTCGATGCTTAATCGGTACCAATGCGTAGTGCTGGCGAAGTGAGGAAGGGATGGAGAAGGTATCCTCTGTCTCACCTACACGAACAACGTTGCTGCGAAGCGCAAAATGTGAAAGCCTCTCAACCTCAGCAGTTATCGTTGCCGATACCAAAACGCGCTTGAGAGTATATTTTTCCCTTGTCTCTGTAAATCTTTCATCACATGAACAAGCTGAGTTCTCTGTCTTCTCCAATAATAGCCCCATAATCTCCTTTATAGCCCGTTCAAACCCCATATCCAGTAATCGATCAGCCTCATCAAGGACAATTGTCTGCGTTGAGGCAACGCAGAAAGACACGGTCGCCCTGAGATGATCAAGAAGTCTCCCGGGTGTCGCTATCAAGAGGGGAACCCCCTTACGCAGCCTTGCCTTTTCCTTGTGCCGATTTTCACCACCGTGAATACCACCCACCGTTAAAAACAGCGCACATCGAGTGAGAACACTAAGCACATCTGTCACCTGCACAACCAGCTCTCGAGTGGGGCAAAGCACAATAATAATAGTTCCAATCTGACGCTGAATTGGTCGCGCATCACACTCACACAACAACTGATGGAGCAGAGGAAGAGCATACGCCAGCGTCTTCCCACTCCCCGTTTCGCTCCGTAGAAGAACATCACGCGTCCTGTCAACCATGGGTGTCCAGCTCTGCTTTTGAATGCGCGTTAGGGATGTTATGTGAAGAGACTCAGTTAGCGGCCGCAGCAACTTGCTATGCACAAGTTCATTTAAAGGAGGCAGCGATTCGGCATCCATGCACGCCTTATCCGCTTCAAACACCGTGGAAGGTGAAGAAAAAGGTGGTATGTTTTTCTTTTTCAAGGGGGCATCCGCAAAAGCCGGAAATTGGCCGCGAAAAGCCCGTGGCTCCGCGGCTCCTTTCGAACGGAACTCGTTTTCTTCCACATCCACAGTTGACGTCCTTTTCCGTTTTAAACGTTTCGGTTCGCTCTTTTCCTCCATGACTGGGGCTGCGCGGGCCGTGGGCGACGGTCGGGAAGGCGCATCAACGCACAAATCGCACCCATCGTCCCAATCATTGAAGTCTACGGACGGTCCCCGTTCTGCTCCGGCCAGCAGCCTGTCAAGGGTGTCATTTTCACCGCATGTTGACAAACCAAGAACGGCAAGGTGTTGTTGTGCATCCATCTCGGCAAGGGACATGTTATCCTACTTTCTCTCTCCTTCTCTTTACTTCACACCTTTATTCCGGCAATTAACATCAAAAGATATCATTTAAAATAAAAATAAAAATAAAAAAAAAATTTAAAAAAAGTACGCAGAGTTCTCGTGCAAAAAGGCATCACATTATATACTCAGGAGAGTTATTAACGTCCTCTTCCCTCTTTTCTTCTTGTTGTTCTTGTTGTTGTTGTTAATGGTGGTGGTGGCGGTAAGGCTTTTAAAGGAAAAAAAAAAAAAAAAGTAAAATTATTAAATAAACGCAACGCACCTAAAAATTGCAGTAAACAAACAACCAAAATAAAAACAGCCCTGCAGATCCTCTCACATATACATACATATATATGCAAACACATAAAGAGACATAAAACCATGCGCTCAGTCACTCCCGGTGACGTTTGCTTAATATTTTTTGATAATTCAATTCCGAAAGAAGACCTTCTCGAAGTAACTGCCGCTGCTCCTCACGCTGGCGTACATTGTACATCCTGAGACCAAGTATAACCACTCCCATAATAAAAAAAGGGAGCCATCCTTGTTCTATAAAATAAACCAGCCAACTTTCCTCCACTACTTCTGACGACATATTTTCCCCTCCTCCTCCTCCTCCTCCTCCCTTTCTTTTTCTTGTGGTGGTGTTTTGTGTTATCATTGGAGATGTAAAAAGAGAAAAAAGATAATTAAAAAAAAAAAAAAAAGGCAGGGGTGCGCGGGGGGAGGGGTAAATTATTATTATTGTGAAGTTAAGACCCACAAATCCATCGCACACTTCTCTGGAGTGTCTGAGACAAAAAAAAAAAATCTAAGGGCAAAGAGTGCGGCACGTCGTTGCAGAAACACACACACCACACACACCCCCTCTTTCTTTTTCCGTATGGTCCTAAAAGGAAATTGGTCTCTCCATGACACATTCTTTATTTGGACTTTACTTGTGTCTGGAGGCGCACTAACCGAATGACAATCGCACCATCCTGTGCATTTTGGTCCATGACATGTCCCTTTTCATTAGGTCTCCCTCTGGCACTGCCCAGCCAACGGTTTCGGCCCTTGTTTCCCCTCATTTCCTTTTTTATTGCCCCCTGTTGGACTTCAAACGCCCCGCTCATCTCCGCGCAATGCCTTGTCAGATTTGGCACATCAAATTGCACCTCAACAAATTGCAAGGATTCCTTCATCCTCCAGTGGTCGCTTTGAAGTCCGTAAGTGCAGCCACCAAGCAGACGAATAAACACATCCCGTGATGCCATTTGACATTCCCGCAAATCACTCTTGGGATTTTTGAGAAGAACTCCAGTATGCTCCGCAAGCTCCGTCGTCTCCATCCTGCTCCCCAACCCAGGACGATGCGGTGTGTTCAAAGTGTTCGACTGCCCCCCGCCGCAGACGGTGTACAACGGCGGCGTCAACTCCCACGCGTTTGTGATGAAGGCATGCAACCCGCCGGCGCGCAGGATGTTCTCCCCCTCGTCTGCGGCCGGCTCCAAATCAGGACCCGCGAAGGTCTGGTGAAGCCAGTCCACCGTCATTTTCCCACCGTCCACTGTGAGCGTACCTGCGACAATAAACGGATCACACGGTGAGTGCACCTCAACGCCCCACTCTCCACTCATCCGCGACACAACGGAAAAGGGCAGCTGGACACTCCCACGATTCCCATGAACACACAGGGACACGCACAATAAAAAAAACAGTGAGGCAACCCAGTGAAATGTCATGCTCATTCCTTCATGGAAGAAGAAAAAATATATATGTATAAACTCCCTTCTTAAAGCTTCTGACCAACACCAGTGGGAGAAAACAACAAACAAACACCACGAACGAGCAAAACAGAACGTGTGGTTAAATAATAAGTCACGCAAAAAAAAAAAAAAAAAAAACAGAAAAAAGGCAACTGAATCCCGCCCCCACCCCTACCCCCCACTTCAATCAAAAAAAAAAAAAAAAACTATCAAATGAAGAGGAAGTGAAACAAAAAATCCGGCACAAAATAACGCCCACGGAATTTTCTCAACAAATTAAGACCGCCAACCCCGGAGCCGCACATGTTTCCCCTTTGTCACTGCTGCTGTTCACTATGGCAAGAAGAAAAGAAGAAGAATATGCACGCAAAAGGAACGTCAACTCCCCCGTAAGCGCCTGCAAGAGCCAATTGTCGACAGGACTCAAAGATCATCATCATAATTAGGCTTCAAGTATACGTTCCACACGGCACTCAATAGGTCCACCTGGTACTCCAGCTTCACCGCCAAGTAAACCACAAACAGTCCAATCAGTAACAAGAAACAGTCAAAAAAACGGAAGAAGAAAACTCCCGTTGGTACCGGTGCCTCACATCGTTGACCATGCATCTCACCACACACGCACACACACCTCCCCTCAGTAGCACTAACAATAAGGTAGAGAAAATTAAATAAATAAATAAAGCAGCAAAAAGGAAGAGAAAGGGAGAGGCAGAGCATGTCTTTACGTTCCTTCTACCCCGTTACATAAGGCAAAAATATGTGTTTCGTTGCAGCCCCATTTAAAACACAGAGAATATATATATATATATATATATATATATATATATATATATATATATATATAGAACTGGCATTGCAACCAGTGTGGCACATTCCATAGCGACAGCAACACGGCACACTAGTCATCTCGTTTGCTTTGATGCGCTCTTCTTTCAACCATCCCAAGAGAAACACCAAACAAGGCATCTGCCTTTTCCTCAACCTTTTTAGTAGCACGCACCTCCTCTTCAATCGCACGACCCAGGGGCTCTTTTACCAGTGGTGCATCTGTGAAGCCAGGTTTCAGCGCTACAAAGTAATTCCGATCCCTTTTCCTGCGTGGGTTCCACTTCTTGGGACGACGCATGGACTTTTGAAAAAACCCAGGAAATGGAGACTTTGGTTCTGGCGTGATCGGGTGCCATGTGGCGTGTCGGTACCCCATACAATAGAGATGGTCATTGTCCACCTCACATGCGGCTACCTGAAAGCACCACCGCATATGTTGTCTGACCGCAGAGATGACAGGTTTGTCCTGTGGCCTCACAGAAAAAGGAAATCGTAACAGCAACGCACCTGAAGGCCGAAGAAGGTGTGTGCCCAATGCCATCACATTCACAAGGGAATCCCGAGTGTGCAGATCCGTAAAAAAACGCTCGGGTGATGTTCCCATTGATGATGTTTCCCCCACAAAATCCACAGCAAGAAGATCGGCCGCCTGTCGAGGCAAAAATGCCGATCGTAAATCACGTAGCAAAGTGTGACTTCTCAAGTATTCACCAGACAACACATTTACCGATGATCCCATACACGTCGACAGGTCGGTTGAGTTTCCAGTCCAGATTTTTTGTTTATCGTGCCTAATGTATGACGCCGCCTCCGTCGTGGTAAAAGGAAATGTTACCACGTCTCCATGGTCATCTTCCCTTTGTAGCAGAGGCATTCTCGGGTTTGCATCGTCGAATACGTAGAATGCGTTCATAGGGGTAGAGCTGCCTTGCGGGGCACTGACCGTCATTTCAAGAAACTGCCTCTTGGAAGTGAACCCGTCGTTCATCTTCGGCCCAATCCCTCGCGGATTGTGTTTGCGGTGGCGCAGG